TCGAAAACCAGGAACAACATTCGCGTTACAAAGGAAGTAACGCTTAAGTCAGCTCGTGAAATTGAACTTACTGTTTGCACGAGCTTTCCAATAAATTGATGGAATATCCCTTGCTAAACCCCCAAGGGATAAAACGGCAGGCTATGGGCAAACTATGGGTCCTTTCAACAGGCAATTAACACAGCAATGTAATATTACCTAGGAATTCAGTGCTACGAGTAAATTCTCTAAAGTATGGCACTGGGATACAGGGACAATTAATTTGATTAACGTATTCTTCTAAACATACGAACTGTTTGTTCGAGTATAAGAACAATTAATACAATACACCAAAGGGGGCGAGGACAATAGAACCGTGCACGTTTTCTCAAGGGGGTTGAACAACTTAAGTACCAATAATAGAGATAGGTGCCTGAGAAACTGGATCAATTGATGAATTATTCCATAAATATGATTTTTTATAAAATATAATAAAGGTTTGTCAATCCATATATCTTTGAGAGATAGTATATATATAAAATTCCAATTAAATTCTATTGTTCTATTATTTATTACAATAATATACGTAATATATGATTTATAAATTTAATATTCATACAATAATTTTGAAAGATTTTTGAATTATAATTTCGTAAATTCAATATTATAATGTTAAATATTTCGATTAATTTAGAAAATTGTAATTCTTTTTATGTATAAATGAAAATAATTGTGTCTATATAAAATATATAAAAAAATTTTCAATCAATTGTAATTGTTTCACACATCTTTATACGTATTTAATTATCTAGTTTCTCAGGTAGCTAAGACTTTTGATACTTATCATGAAGTTACATCATGAAAACGGGGTAATAATCTAAACATTAATGTAACGCAAGCCTGTGAGATTACTTTTGTAGTAAAAGGGTTCAGAAAGGAATGTCTCAGAGAAAAAGAAAAGAGTCGACGTGAAAAAGATCTCACGATCGTATTTTTTTTTTTTTTTTTATTCAACATTTCCCTGCTTGTTGTTGTGCTTTTCGTTCTGAAATTCACGATAATGATTGGATTACTCTTCCGTCATTACGAACAATAGTGTTTCGGATTATATTTCTTTCAAGAAAAAATTACGAAATTATGATCGAAAAACTATTATTACCTTCCATTCTTATTTCCTTATTTCCTTCATTCCGGTTGGACATCGATATTTCAATAGAAATACTCGCATCTGATTCTTTAAATATTCACGAAAAATTAATTAATGCAATCGATTCCGGGAGATTGTTCATTTATATTCAGAAAGGCTTTCACTTATATCATGAGACGCTTTTAATTTGAATTTTTATTGTTCAACAAAATATCGATATCTTAAAGTGGTTAATTGTTACGAAATTGAATTATAGTAAAATTTCTAATATTTTCAATAATTATTGAATAATATTTAATCTTCTCTATATCGAAAATTTAGAATTCAAAACAATATATATATATATAACAAAAAATAAACAAACAACATACTTTTCATTATCTCTCATATAAATAATAATATATATAACCTAATCAATATTAATATTCATACAACGCGTTGGTAAAACGAGAAAACATTCGAAAAATTTTTCCCATCCCCTCGTATTCAAAATCAAAACGCGCGAAACAGGAAGCTGTCGACTCCTCCTCGTCAACCCGTTTCCCACAGGAGCGATGCGTCGGGGGAGAGCACGATCCTCATCGCGAATGGATTAAACGAGACGAAAATTGTTTCGAGTCGTTTGCTGGGATGTGCACGTGGCTGTTCCATCGAGGAAAAACGAAAATAATTTCCAAAATGCGCCACATTCGCACCGTGGTGGAAGTTGTAGAGGATGTCAAACACGTTGCAACTTCCAAAGCGATCCGCCATCACCATGGCTCTTGTTGAAAGTTGCACACGGTTTCGACGCGATTTTAACGACACGGTTGCCAACTTTCTTTCTTCGAGGAACGTTTACGCGACCGTTTTACTCGTGTCGTGGTAGCGGTTGTTGGAATACTCGAACGGGTGCTATGTTGAATTGAATTCGCGATAAGAATTTGAAATTGAAGTTGGGATGAAAGATTTAGACAAGATTTTGGATAGATAATTGATTATTATTCGATTTTATATCAATATATCAATAATATTTTTAATGTAATAAGTTTTTAACGGTATGACGATCGATGATGCGACACTAGCGCCACGTGATTATTAACTATTATTACTTAATGCAATTAATACTTATGGATATTTTTGTAATTATTTATTACTTCCATTTTTTCACTTTTCAAATATTCGAATAATTATGTTTCTATAAACGATAAAAATATATTTTATTGATTATTGATTTGAAAATTGTTAAAATTTAGAACTAGTTGCTAGTTGTTATGTTGTTAATAAAATTATTGTGTAATTTTTAAATATGAATTGTTCAAAAATAAACGATAAGAATGCATACATATAATTTTTCAATCAATATTTAACAAAATTAAAACCAATTAAATTTTTATACTGTACAAAAAATTCAACAAAATAAAACAATTCTTAAAAATAATTTAATAACTTAATGAAGCTATTTCTTTTTTCCTTTTTTTAAAAAATTGGTGATGGTATAATAATAATCAAATATTAATAATAATTTAAACATAAGTATTGCGTTTTCACGATGAAGATCTCTCTCAAGAATGACTGATCAAAAAAGAAAAAGTCAGAAATAGACTAAGAAAAATAGTTCTGGTATACTTTGAATTTTATTGACATTTTCAGGTCGCGAGCCACATATGTATTCGTCAGTCTACTTTCTTTCTGAGATTTCCAACTATTTCCAAAGAATTTAGCCGGAATATTACAAGGTGTTCTCACTGGAATACAGTTGCTTGTATTGCAATTCACGTACTCAATAATGGAGGCCAATTAAAACGAGGTTGGCCGTTGTTAATTAAAGCAAGAATTGCTTGCAGTATTGCTGCTTATTGCAGTATTAACCGTGACAATTATTGACATATGAGACTTCGATATTCGCTTGAATTGTTAAAGTAATTTCGAATTGTAAAAATAATAACGAGTTTATAATAACAGAAAGCGCAAAAGTGAAATTAAAATCGGAAATTTTACACGCAAAGATATCGTTGATTACAAACTTTTACATTCTTTGAATACTAATATAAATTTAATATCACTATATATCACTTTTATAAAGAAGAATTTTAAACAAGGCAACATTAATGATAATGATAATTAAAATTTAATTACAAAAAATATTTATTTTCTTTATCATCCACAAATTTAAACAATTTTAAACAATTAAAAACATTTATAAAGAATATTATCATGATACTGTTAAAAATTTAAACTATCCTTTTCCTGATATATGAAACAAACAAATATCGTCGTTAAATCGTATCAATTCGATGAAATATTCATATTTAAATATGACGAGAAGAAAAATTACCGATCATAACGGTACATCTATCGTTTTTCTCTACGATGCAAATGATTTGAAACTAGAACCAACAAACTCGCTCTAGATTCCCCTCCTACGCGACACGCTTTCCACATTTTTCCTTTCCACTTGCTTATTTTCATTCCAAATCATCGGTTCACAGCCGAGTAAAAGGACGGGTAACGCGATTTTCGATCCCGTTGCAGCTGGAAAACTACGGAAAGTTCGACGGCCTGGAAGATATGGATAGTAGGAGAGGTTTCGCTACGCTACTTTCGCGGGAATTGAATTTCTTTCTGGTCAACTTTGGAGGAAAAGTTAAAATTATATAATTAAAAAAATATAATTAAAAATTATCGAGGTATATATTTATCGATAAATTCGATTCAAGATCGGTTTAAAAATTTATGCAAATTCTTGCTCGTAGAGTCGTCTTTGGTAAGACGATTCGAAAAAATTGCAGCATAAAAAGAAGGTATAAATTTGCAACTGTTGCTGGTGATATTTATGCAATTCAGTTGTTTGGAAATCTCAGCTTTTTCAAGCTTCGTGTATTTAAATATTGCGTAAAGTAGAAACGAAGTTTGAAAATATTTATATCGTCTGGTTCTAAAGATTAACGAAATATTTGAACTCTTATTTAAACTTTAATTTCATTCTTACTCATCCTGTCGAAAGAAATAAGTATTTAATCAAGATATAAATTCTCTTCCCCGATGTCTATTTTTTTTTGCACTTCTCTTTCTTTTCCATAATTTATTTTCGCTCTTTCTTCAATGAATAAGAATTCCTCCAATTAAAAATCGTTAAAAATAAAATAAAACACGAGAATCGTCTTACATTTTATATCAACCTCGATCGATTCATTTCAAACTCCCGTCTAAAATCAATATTTAAAAACTCATCTCACCTCCCCTCTTCTTCCCCCAACTTCTTCCTAACTAACTTTTTCAAACATCCTCTTAATAGAAAAGCAAATCCTTAAACTTCTCGCCGATTCTATAATATTCCTTGGAATATATCTTTTCATCAAATAACAAATCGCGGACAGGCGTTATTATCCCGCCAGAACGAAAAGCCATGGAACAAGCAAGGATGGCCGAGTATTGCCGAGTTACGTTCGAGTTTCAGCTTCGAAAAGCTCTTAAAACCGTTTCTCACCGTGTAATCGCGGCAACCCCTCCCCCCAGCCCAACAATCCCCTTCGACATCCCAGGTTGGAGAATCGTTTCGACCTTTTCTTCGTCGTCGTTAACCACTCTCGACACACCTCCCCTCCCCTCCCCTCCCTTCGTCGGAAAGGCCGTTCTCCTCCTCCCTTCAGAAACGGGGCCACCAACGAAAATTGCTTCGATCTGAACGACTTTCGAGCTTCTTACCCCGTTCCACGCGAACACTTTTTCTCTACACAGCTTCCTGGACAGGAACGTTCGAGAGACGACAGGCACAAATGCGTGATGTACATATTTACATATGGAGAGAGAGAGAGAGAGAGAGAAAGAGGACAAGAACACAGCACACCGCTTAGCTTAATTTTCTTTGATTTATAATATATATCGTAGGTACCTATTAGAGGGACAGCGTCCGAGGTGGTCGGCATGCTTTCTGCAACGAGGTTCAGGAATACTGTCAGCGACAGTAGAATGGTCACTCCTGCGATAGATGGAGAAAAAAAAAAAAAAAACAAGAGAAACAACAAGATGAATCGATCTTTTTTTTTTTTTTTTTAGACTTTATTTGTATAAAGTTGATCGTCTCTCGGATCGAATCTTTGATGGATGGTGTACCATCTGTACCTGGGTAATATTTTTTACGAGAAACGTGTTTTAAGGGAATTTCGATTCTGTGGGAAAATTATGCTGCACGAGTTAAATGGATATGGAAAAGATTCAAAATTCCTATTTGGTTGATATTATTTGATTATATATACAAAAGGTATTATGTATTATATATGTAAAGAGAGAATAAGAGAATTTAATTTTAGAAATTTATCTTGAGAATTCCTGGCCAACAAATTTCTAAGATTTTATTGGATCAATATTCAAATACTTGATTAATAACTCGAGATGACTACGTTATTTATAATTGAATATTAAAGGATTCCTGATCTTTGAGGATATTTTTTTAAAAGATGTTAAAAATGAATATGTTACATTTTCTGTAATACTTCTAACAACATCGAGTTTTCTGTTACGATCTCAAGCAAAGGAAAATATCGAGATCAATTCAGAAATCATCAATCAAATCTTAAAAAGTCACATATAACAATAAATAATAACAAATTATAATAAATATAATAAAGATTTTTTTACATTTAATTTTCATTTAATAATAAAGATTCTTTTACAAAAATCGAAAACAATTTAATTAAAACATAAAATCTTTCAATTTGAGAAACTCTATCTTAGTCCTAGGATGAGAATTCTAATTTGAAAATCAATGTAAGGTATCTGTTAAATTTTGGCCAAGGGATTTGGCCAAACCAGGTCGAGCAATGAACACGTTTCGCGATAAGATCACGTCTGTTAGAAATTCCTGGATGATATTGTCGTTGGGCTATGGGTTCCAGGATAGTGCGAGCTTCCAGGATAGAAACGTTCCGATTTTTCAAAAATATTTCACCGCGCGAACACTGCTCGAGATTCGTATTGGTGCGACGGTTCGACGAACACTCGTCGAGCTTGCCAAATGCAAGTGAATTCCGCTTGTTTTTCGAATCGAATCCTTGATTTTCGACGATAGCGAGTTTTGGGTTGAGCCGATCGCTTTGGATCGATTTAGAAAAGTACATGGTTTTGCTTCTTCCCTTCTTTTCCCTTCCCTTTTCCCTTCTTATTGTTTTGGGATTGAAATCGTTGGAAGTGGATTTTATGAGTTTTCTATCTTAAATGAAATCGTCGATATTTGTGCAGAATCGAGATTTTGCAAAGAATTTAATTAATCTTTGCGATAGTTTGTTTTAGTCAGTTTAAAAAAGTTGCATTTATGAATATTTTTTAAATTAATAATTCTTATTACACATTAACAATTTATATATATATATATTTTCAAGATAGATCAATATGTCGAATCGAAGAAATAACTGATAATATTTCGTGAATAGAATTATGTACAACTATGTAATAAATAGAATAAATTACGATATAATTTGATTGAAAATTTGAAACACGATCGAAAAATTAAGAGTGCCGAGATATATTTTAGCCAACAATATTTTCATCCAAACTTTATATATCCAATTATCTAAATTGATGCACTAAATCATCAGAAACTCCACACGTTATTTAGATCAAAATTTGCAAATATTTGTTTAGAAGTTTCGCGATGGAACGTCTCACCGCGAGTTATGTTAATTTACGCGTATCGGTAATCTAAATGTTTAAAATAGTCATTAGACGGCTTTATATCAAAGTCGTATAATTTCAACGGGGTAATCGAATTTTGCTGTTTACGCGATATCTAAATTTGAGATTGCCTGAAACGAATTATTTTGACGAGGTTGAAACCTTTAGCTTTTCAGTTACACGCGTTTCTGAGTTTCGTGTCATTAACGTGAATAAAATATGCAGATAAAGATCAAACGAAAATTATTTTGTTGATTCAAAACTGTCTTAATCAAAACTTAAGAATTAGCAATTGAATATTATTAGTGTGATGTAATTATGATTATCATTATTATTTGTATAATATTAAATTCCAACGAAAATTAGAATATAGTAGTACATTCATGTCAAAACTTATATCAAGAAAGAAATTTTAAAATGAGAGCATTTAAGTATTTCAAGCAATCTATATTCCTGAATATTAAATTTAATAATAAATATTAAATCGTGTATGATATATCTGTCTAATGCATTAAGAAAAAAGAAAAAAACAACAGAAAGTAAACTCAACTAAAATAAACACGATTTTTCTGTACCTTATACAATAAAATTCGTATTTCTACGAGTTTAATATTTGCTTCCGACTTTGTAATATTACAATGTGTGCAAAGGGAAGCTGCACGCAATATTCTTTTTCTTATTTTCAAAATTCAATTCGTAAATTTATTATCCTTTGAATTGGTGAATTATATTCAGTTTTTTTTCAGAATAAAAACAATTTCTCAAAGTATATCCTAGAAATTCTACTGTCTGCCAGTAACAAACGTTGAGTTTGAGACTTTCGTAAAGTATTGTGTGTAACGGGGTCGTAAAATCGGTCAGGCTTCAAAGTTCACACGAGAGCCTGACCAAGTAAATTTACCGAAACCGGAGAAGACAGAGATACGAGACCTCAATCAGGGCGTGTGTGAAGTGTATCTTAGTTTTGATTTCATCTTTCATCGTGGAAATAAGAATTTGGTGAGAATGTTTATAGAGATAGAATGATTCTAGAATGGATTTCATATTAGAGGAATTCATAGAATTGATTAAATTAAATTTGAAAGAGATATGATTAATTTATAACTATATATTTTTTTTAAGATTTTTTTGTATTTGGAAAGTATATTTTGCATAAAAGAATTATATTATTATGCAGTTTCAATTTATCCTGTCCTTCTATCAAGAAGAAGGATCATTTGTTTTCTGGTTATCTTAATTGTAAAGTAATTTTGTAATTATTATAATATTATTACTATATTGTTAGAATGATAACTATAATGGTATCATATTAATATATTGAAGAATTTTTCATAATATTTTTAAAATGTACAAGTGACAAGATATTAATAAATTTTCTTTAATATAGTAATAATTTTAATCATAACAGAAATGAAATTTTATAAATAATTTTTTCCAAAGTGGATGATCTAATTATTCATGTATAATATTTCATATTAAATTTTTAAATTTTAAAAGAGAAAAGATTTATTTTAATATTAATTCATTAATATCGTTAGTTAAAATACATTAATGTTTTTTTCAATTTTGGTATTTTAATATGATTCCAATTGAAATGTTTTATAACTGAATTCAATATAAATATATAAACACGTATTATATTATCCCGTGCTTTAAAATAATATTATCTGGTACATAATACAATATCTGATTTCAAAATTCGCGAGTTCTTAATTTTATTAAAAAAGCAAACATTTTAAATTATCCAACACATATCGCGTTTAATTATTCTAAAATTATTTTCTTCTTCTTTTTTTCAACTAATTTTAGTCTCTAAATAATAAAAAACCATATTCTCGTATTTCAATTATCTCTCTTTAATTGGTTCGCACAGAATTTATTTTCTTCTATTCCATTTCCCGTTTTATCGAAAGCAAATTTACCGTCATCGAATTTTATTTTTCCACGACTCGTGCCTTCAATGAATGATAAACGAGCTGATCGAAGGAACAACCGACAAAGGAACGTGACACGAATGGAACCCTTTTCAATCGCCATCACTGATGGATTAAAGAACGTTTTAGATGTAGTTTGATATATATTAATGAAGAATTCTGTCAATACTTGTTCTAGTTGGCTCTATAATTTACTATTGCATCGTTCAAATAATTATCTTCTGACTGTACAATAATAATATATTAATATTTTTTGTTTCATAAATCTGATGTATCATGAAAAATGCAAAACAGTCGAGGATAATTATATAATTGTAGAAATAATCCTTTACATTTTTTTTTATTAATTTAAACAATTTCCTGATTATTATTATAATAAGATTTTAATTTTACAATTGCTGTGTTTCTAATATCATCAAACGCTTCTTTTCTTTATTTTTATTTGTATATTATATGAGCTGTTTAAAAAAATTCTTTCAATTATCATTTTCTAGAAACCTGCTCATACGTGTCAATAAGAATCTCTTGAATGTTATAATTCATTAAATATATTTCACAGTAATACATTAAGAATTTTCATACTTTTTTTAGAATTTTTATACTATATTATTCATCCCCTGTAATAATAACGTGTAATAATTATCATTGATCATTATATCATTGATCATAATAATAAGATTCAAAGAACAATGAAAAATAAAAGATACATAATCTTTTTTCAAAAAGTGCTAAAAATTATAAAGAATTTCCAAATTTTAAAAAAAAATCACGAACTCTTTTTCTCTCGTCATTCTACTTGACCCATTCTACTTAAGAAGTTACGTTAAAAGAATATCGTTTTTTATTGAAACAACTCGCTTAAGATGTCATCACCATTTATGTTAATACACCTCTTCGTTCACTGATCACACGGTGGTTAAATTGGCGTGTGACGAGCAAGATATATCGCATCGAAGGGCGCATATTTGTAATTTCCGTAGCGAGCTGACCATAATCCCACGCGTGAACGAGTATTCCGCTCTGCGTAACTTGTACCCAAGCTGCGAGCACAGAGTCAGCCGAGTCGTTAATAACTTTATGCGGTTAACGTGTCTGGAATTGCATTATTAAGCGATAACCGCCATCGTTTACAGGGGAATATCGATAATTCGCGTCCATTGGGACGTTCCTCGTTAAGTCGGGTTCGTGTCGTGAAAGAAAGAGCGAAGACAGCATCTCAGGTCTCTGTCGATGATGGATCAAATAAAAAAGTTCGTTAAAGACTTCGTTTTCGATGTATCACGTCCAAGGTGGTCAGAAGACAAAGGTAATTTAATAATGAAAGTTGGGGGACAGATAAGCTTGAGCTTTTGTGGTGATAAAATATATGTGTCGT